TCCTAGCTTTTAAGGTCCCAGTCGCTACTCGCCAAAGTAGTAGGTGGAACAATGTTTTGTATAGTATGTTATGCCAATTGAGCTTGATGTCCCTAAAGGATGATTTAAAACATTTGAAAAGTGCATTAAAAAGCACAAGTCATTTACTTGTCATTAAAGTCAAGACATTTTGTTGTTGTAGTTGTTGTTATATGCCTTCGAGATGGACCAGACTCATAGCGACCCCTCCTTGGGCAATATCACTATGGAAGTAGATTGCCCAACCTTCCTTCCGAGCAGTGGCTGGTGGGTTTGAACCACCAGTCTTCTGGTTAGCAGTTAAGTGCCTTAGGCACTACGCTACCAGAGCTCCTCAAAACATTTTAAGTACATTAATTAACTCTCATTATCTTGTGGAAAAACCCATTTTCTAAAGTTCGTGTTAGAATGTCTATAAAAAATATAGTAAATGTTTATTTATTGAGATGATACCCCAAGGAGGGTTATCTCTACCTGTCCCCTGTCCCCTCTGTGTTCTCCACATCAGGCATGTGGCCATATGCTTTTGTTAAAGCTTACAGCTGACTATCTCATTCTTTTCAGAGCACATAATTAACAATTCTTTTTTATCTGATACTTAGAGGTGGCATGTTGAAATGCAAGCACAAGAATGGCAGCACTCAGGATCATTAGCTATTACAGAGATGCAAACCAAAACAGCTGTCATTCTTATTTACCAATGAGACATAAATAAAATGTCTATGAATGTATTTGTGCTAGAAAATATTTCAGGGCCCACTCTAGTGTTTTCAAAATGGCCATAATATGCATCTGTCATAACTTATCTTTCTTTTATAGGACTTATGAACTCTTCTTGAATGGTGGCACCCCTTACGAAAAAGGTGTTGAAGTGGACCCTTCAGTGTCCAGAAGAGGTACAGCTCTTATGTGTTGCCTTCCTTTCAAAATTTAAACAAATAGAAGATTTTTCAGAGAAGGTAGCTATATTCTAATAAGCATAAATTTTTCACTTGAGTTCACATTTTTGAAAATATGTAATTTAATATTAAAATCTTAATCATTTTTATCTACGTGCCTTGTTTTCTTGATAGCACATAGGAGACTCTACATAGGCAGTCATGAACAATGAGGACCCTGCATTAGCTCTTCTTCACTGGACATTGGGCTGATACTTATGACCTCTACAGAATCATAGAATAGACAAATTCAGAGTTTGCCTATTGCTGGGCCAGGAGTGTAGTCATTTGATATAGAGATATACATACCAAGTTGTCCTCTAAAAATAGTGAGCATCTTTTAATATGTTCATTGACCAGACATTGTACTAGATTATAGGAAAATAGAGAATAAGACAGATATGGTCCTTGCCTCATGGAGCACAGAGACTGACAGAATTGTAACTCCCTTCTTGTCAGATATTCCTCTCCTTATTTCATGATTGCTTCCCCAGCAATGCCAGTCTAGATTCAGACAAGCTTTTTAAATCCACTCTTTTTCTTCTTTGTAATCTGGCAGCAATGTTACTGTCAAAACATCTGATATAATGGCAACTCTTGAGGCCAATCAGGGGAGGTAGAGAGGCATTAAAGTACATCTTTCTTTTATTCACTTCATTTGAGGTTTGTGCATGACTCCTGTCTTTCGTACAGTCTAGCACCACTGGTTGATGTATTTTGATAAAGTATTTTGTTTTATTATTCTCACTGTCCCAAGCACTTAAAGTCTTGAGTTTTATTATTTTTTTAAAGCACATGGCAGTGTTTTCCATCAGATGATGACAATGAGAAGGCAGCCTCAACTTCTGGTAAAACTGAGATCTTTGAGCAGAAGGTCAAGAAGCATACTAAGGTTGGTACCTGCTTTTACCAATCCAGTGAACTCTGCATTCAGCCTTTGTAGACCATCTCTGCTTTTGGTTTCTCCTCCTTGTTGGTCATCTTTTATTGGTAATTTTTTTCCACTATTAATTCTTTGTCCAAAGATCAGTAGGTAAACAGAGTAGTAATAAAGCTTAGATTAGCTTATCTCATGCTCCTTTGTAGTCAGCTCCCCAACTCTAGCCTCAGACAACCACTAGTTATTTTTTTTCCTAGGAGTTTTGTCTTTCTAAAATATCATATAAATGAAATCATATAGTAAGTAGTAGCCTTTGAGTTTGGCTTCTTTGGCTTAGCATAATGCATTTGAGATTCATCCATGTTGTTGCATGTATTAGTAGTTTGTTCCTTTTTATTCTAAATAATGGATATACCACCATGTCTTTATCCATTCACCAGTTTTTGGACATTTGGGTTGTTTCTGGTTTGGGGCAATTTGAATAAAACTGCTGTGAGTATTTGCATACAAGTGTTTTGTGTGAACATTTGTCTTCATTTTTCTTGGGTATAAATATCTAGAAGTGAGATTCCTGTGTCTTAACTTTATAATAAACTGCTGAACTGTTTTTCAAAATGATTGTACCATTTTATACTCTCATCAGCAATGTATGAGAGTTCCAGTTACTCCATATTCTTGACAAAATTTGGTATGTCCATTTTTTCTGTTTTAGCTATTCTCATAAATGGATAGTGGTATCTCATGGTGATTTTAATTTGCATTTACATCAGGGGGCTTTTACACTACTGGTATCCCATATCCATTCATTTCTAACTCTGTGACTGTGGACAAGTCATTTAACCATCTCTCTTCAGGGTCTCAATGTTTGCATCTATAAAATGGTCATGATAATTTTATCAGCCTCATAAAGCTATGAAGAGCTTTAAATAAAAAAAGCATATAAAGCATTTAGCATCTGGCATACAGTAAGACACAAAGGTTAGCTATAATTATTTATTATTATATGTATAGAAAAATAAGGCGACCTGGTAGCACAGTGGTTAAGCACTCAGCTACTAACTGAAAACTCAGCAGGTCAAACCCACAAGCCAGTTGTTCCACAGGAGAAAGATGTGGCAGTCTGCTTCCATAAAGATTTACAGCCTTGAAAACCCTATGGGGCAGTTCTTTGTCCTACAGAGTCACTATGAGTCAAAATCAACTGGGTTGATTTTGGGTTTGGTGATGGATTATAGATAAATAGAAAAAAATGCCAGGTAGATTGGGCTATTGTCATAAAATCTATTCAAATAGAGATGTATTAGGTAGCTGATAAGATCATGGGGCATTTGAAATAGGCTTTGGCAGGTTGAAGGGGCATGCAGATGTAGAGGAAAGGAACTTTCCACAGAAGGCATAGAGTCAACAAAGCTGTGGAGAAGAGCTTAAGCATGGGAACAAAGACTGATGCAGTTGAACTGTCCTGCTGTGAATTGTTCATTGCTTACAGATGATGAAGTACAGCTATTACTGGAAGACTCGGCCTGCCGCTCTGGATGGTTGCCTTCTCATTCTAGATTATATTCTTATCTCTAATTCTAAAATGTGTTTTATGATACAGTATTAACAGTTAAATCTTTCAATAAACGTTAATAATGTGTTCATAGGTATTATTCATTCACCCCACCCCACCCCAATGTTTACAGACCTTGTAAATTCCTAAGTTTGGGCAGTCTTCCCTTGGAAAATTATTTTTGAAGATTTTTTTAAAAAGCACAGTAGCAGTCTTTGTAAAACAAACGCCAAAATCCTTTTGGTTTCATTCTTCCTACTTCTTCAGCTTCCCTACTACTCATCTCGTTGGAAAGCCTCCAGGAGTCCCAAAGCACTCCCAAGCATGTCTTTCAAGTGCAGCTCTTAATAGTGTTTCTTTGGCCCAAACATCGTTTTTCAGATACTTTTTATGATGCAGAGATCAAATTTGGGTAGTGCAGAGGTCAAGAAGGCAGTCAGTCACATCCTTATCAAAACAGTGAACGTTCTTCTATGTATTAGACTCTTAAAAAAGGGTACAGAGTCCTTGTCCTTAGTCCCTCAGGAACTGAGACACTTTTTTTATTATAGCACATAGTAAGATCTGAAAAAAGGTAGTTAAATAATTTCAAATAATTTTTGCTAGTGCAAAAAGTTTACTTCTCAGGAGCTCTGCTCTGCCTCCTGCTGTCCCCGGCTGCCCCTACCTTGTCTTGGTGTGTGCTCTTTCTCTTCCCAGAGCAACTTGAGCACTGTCTTTTTTTTTTTTTT